ACAAAAAAATTATTATACATCCATATAATAAAATATTCTAATCATTTTAATTATGTTAATCTATATATGCCAATATGAAAACAGCTCTGTAACAATTAGGCAAAAAGTAAACTGCAGTTTAAAAAAAAAGGTAAACAGTATAATATAATACTATTTGTATAAATTTTTTGAAAAGTAGACTTTCTGGAAATTGTTAACAGTGGATTACTTTTGGGGGGAACAGGAAAAATAGCTTTTATTTTTACTTTTCTGTACCATCAGAAGGTTTTTTATCATATACATGTGCAACTTTTATTTTTTTAAAAAAATCTTATTTACTTGAGAGAGAGAGAGAAGGAAGAAAAAACATGAGTTGGGGGAGGGGAAAAAGGAGAGGGAGAAGCAGGCTCCCTGTCCAGCAAGGAGCCCAATGCGTGGCTCGATCCCAGGACCCCAGGATCATGACCTGAGCAGAACCACTTAACCAACTAAACCATCCAGGCACCCCTACATGTACAACTTTTAACTTAAAACATACAAACTCCTCTAATCCCTACAACCTTAACCACTACTCTCACCATCAACTGTCCACACACTCCCCCTCCCCCATCTCAATATCTAAAGGCTGACTAAAATTGCCTGATGGGAATTTCAGCTAGTAGAGGATATATTTTGGATCTATAGCTGGGATTTTTCTTTAAAATCTCTTCACTCTAAAATCACCTCTGAGATGAAAAATGAGAAAAAGAATCCCTACACTGCCCAGGGAACCTTAAACTCTCGTTTCCTATCAGGCCCCTAACCGTCCTCTCCTAGAAAGACAACGCTTATGGTTATAATATCCTCTCCTTCTCCTCTCACAGTTTTATATCTAGTCTTGGCTAATTTCACTCTCCCACATAAAGAAGAGCAATCTCAATTATTACTGAAGAGGACGAAGACTTGCCCCTTGCAGAATCACTTAACAGCAGGGATCTTACTGTCTGGTTTTCTCAACTCTCACCACCTTGGTGCAGGTGGCCAACCACTACTCTAAACTTCTATAAGGCAAGATCTCAGTCCTTTTTATTGCATCATTTCTGGTACTAGATGTATATGCGAGCTTAATATTTGTTCATTTTACCTAAATCAGGTTAGTGCGTTCTGTGTCAAAGGGAGAGGCAGGTTAGAGAAGTACTTCCAGGTCATGGCCCTTTAACGATGCTTCCTGCTTTAATCAGTCTTCCTCCAATCCCCTTAGCCACTTTTAAGTTTTACAACTAAGCCAAGTACTTCTAATTACTGCTTCTTATGAATTTCTAATCATTAGAACACAATAATTCTTATGGACTTTTAAGATATCTTAGATTAATGGCTTTAAGATTTAAACAACTAAATTTTGCTCATCTGAGTTTAATCTTCATAATTTTCTCACTGTGCATGATCGCCCCTACCAACTAAAACAATTACAGTCTCAAAGCAGCAAACTTACCCTATTTTTGAACTAATTAGTGAGAAAAAGCTAAAAACCTTTTCCACATATTGGGGAAAATGGTTATAATCAGGATGATAACATTATAATGTGAGGAAGAGCTGACTTCTACACACAAAGGAGTCAGAACTGCAAACCATTTGGCAGCTTCTTAAATACACTTAAAAAGTAAATACATTCTCAGAGAAATTACTGGGCTTATTTTTAAACTAAGTATTTTTGGAATTTTTAACATTTCCAAACAGGAATACTCAAACTAAACACAATTTTCTCCAAATATGTATTTGAATTGGAAATGACAAATGATTTGTTCAGCAAACTGAGTTTAAAAGTGAAAAAAAAAAAAAAATACACACTCATACACATACATACATCTTATAACAAAGTAAAGTTTAATACTAACCTCAAAATTACTCTGGCATACAAGTTTCGGGAAAAATAAATAAATGCCATGTCGAGTAACACTGCACAATGAAAGATCAAGCAGCTCCAGAAGAGAAAGACATGCAAGAGGTTATCTTCTAAGACAACTTAAGGAGACTGAATTCTGGATAAAAATTATTAAAACCAGACTCTAAAACAGACGGTTAACCTTGAAACTTTATTTCTTGACTGAATGAATGAAAAGAAGAGGGGTGAAAGTAATGAAGGATAATACGCTATCTGGCAGTAATTTTAAATATTACTTAAGTCCTGAATTAAATAATACAGACAATAGAAGATTCTAAGCTTCCACAAGAAACTGAGAATTACCCCAATTCCACCATATGAAGAGGACTGTGACTTTGGATAAATCAATTAAATTACAACCTGAACCTAATTCCTCATGCATATGGTGAGTGATGACCATCTTTTAGTTTCCTTACAGCTAACACTGACAAAGGAAACATCAATTTATTCTTTTCTAACTTATTTACAGTACTTGTCATCCAAGCCAAATCACAGTTGAGTTCTCCTGTTAATTGTAGGCACACATAATCAAAAAAAAAAAAAGTAGCAATAAGGAAGCCAAAGGACAATCCTAATTCATGAGGGAAAAGCGGGGGGGGGGGGGGGGGGGGGGGGGGGGACACTTCCCAAAATAGTCCCCTTCTCACTAAGTTTTGGGTATATTCTATCATTTCATTCTTCATCAGGGTCCGGTCTAATACAGGGTATCACTTTACTTTAGGCTTAACAAATTATTGATAAAACCAAGTCCTCAAAATGTTATTCTTTGATCCGTTAAAACTGCAGAACAATTTTTAAATAAATTTAAAAATAAAGCAACTTTTATCCAACAGCCAACTCAGACTACCTGTCAAATAAGCTTAGTAACATTACATGACATCTCGTGACAAGAATCACTATCCTCACATTATCTCCTGTAATTCCTGGAAAAAGTGAGGGAAAAGACAGACATAACTCGACAGGATTAAAAGCAACGGTAAGAAAACTAAAGCTGCTGTGAAAATAAAGCTAATACAAGGAGAATCAATCTCAAAAAAAAGGAGAAAATAAGAAAGGGCACAGAAGTTCTTAAAAAAAAAAAGACCAATTCAAACTTTACTTGTCAATTAAATATTCACACCTTGAAGTAACACCCACCCGGAAAAATAGTTTTTTAAATCGTTAAAAAAAAAAAAAAAAAAAGGCACTACTTCAGCTACTTCGGTAATCAAAGAATGTCTAAAGTGCACCTTTTCTGTATGTATTTGTAAATTTATTTCCAGAGAGTAATGTTCTGATTGAAGACGTGTTTTTTACAGTTAAGTTTTTGAGAATAAATCTATCTTAACATAAGACGTCCTACGTTGAAACTTTCACCTACATATTTACCACCATAAATTTTAATTAGGTTTTCTATCACCGAGTGATACAAGATTAATTGTTCCACAAACTGACCTGCATACACCATAGGAACGCTCATCTTACTGTCCCTAAAAATGCTAACATCTCTGACAAATGTACTGCACAGATAAGAAGTGTCCTTTTAGCCTTTATTTTGCTTAATACCACACTTTTGTATTTTTAACTGTTTTACCTGAGTTAATACAGAAAATGCTCTATCTTGGAACTTTACCTACATGTGTTAGTTGCGAACAATGACTGTATACCCATTCAAGTTTTAAATAATTGTAATTTATTTACAGCTCACCTCATATATAATCACACCTGAATTTTTAAAGTTCATTAGGAAGACAGTAGAAGACTCCCAACTGACTCGAGTCCGCTGACCAGCCTTCGAAATTAAAGGCTGTATCCAAAGTCTCCGAAACTCTAAAGGTAGGGTCGTTCAGGATAGCACTGCCCATCCATCACATAACAAATGTATAAAAAGAGAGTTCATAGCATATTATCCGAAGCAAAATAAAGGGTTCCCTTTTATTGGGTTAGTGAGGATTCTTAAAACATGTGTTGGGAGAGTAGGGAACTGCTCTTTCAAACCCTCCCCTGAGTTTACACGCTCTCCGGGAAGGTAGGCAGTAACATGGCAAGTCTGAAGGCGAGGCGCTGCATTTCAGGGTTCAGATTCATTCCCTCAAATAACTGTACCTCTGCCTGGCGTAGCTTGAACATATGTACCAAAAAACAACAGCAGCAGCAGCAGCAACAACGGACAAGGTTCTCCTTCTGACCGAAAACTTTTCAAGTGTCACTAAGATAACTGGTGCAAAAAGGTCAACTATTTACAACTGCACACCATTTTCATTGTCATTCCAACTCCGAGGCTTCCTAAAGGAAAGCCGGAGCCCAGTCGTAGCCCGGGAGGAGTCCCTTCAGCCAGGGCTGAGCTCTTCCTCCACTAGGTCCTCAGGGTCCCCCAGCACCAGCTCCGGGAGCGCGGTTAGCGCGCTTTATCTCCGGCGACTGGCAAGTAACAGCGTAAAAATGTCACTCTAGCAGCCCGTTTCCTCGCCCGGAGCAAAGGCTGGGCGGCGCGGGCGAGGCACGCGGGGACCCGGCGGAGGAGCGAGGGCGCCCGAGGCCCGCACGCCGCCCGGGGTGCAGCCCCGACCCGCGCTCCCACCCCTCGCCCGGAAGGGGGAAAACCCGCCAGCGGGAGGATTCAACAGGAGCACCGCGCCGCCCGCCTGCCGCCCGGGAAACAGCCGCCGGCCGGCCGGCCGGGACGCGGGGGGAGGGGCGGCAGCGGCGGGGCGCGGGCGGCCGGGCTGCGGGGCGCGGACCCTCGCCCGCGCGCAAGGTCGCCGCCCGCCGCCCGCCGCCGCCGCGGGCGCCCCGGCTGGGGCCAGGGCGGCAAGTTTAATTTCCCGAGGCTGCGACTGAGCCCGCGGCGTGGAGGGAGCGCGCCGGCCGCGGGGCCCTCCCCACCCCCACCGCGCAGCCCGGCCCACGCCCCCGGCCCGCGCCCCACTACTTTCGGCCCGGGCCGCCACCGGGCAGCCGGCGGCTGCAGCCCCCAATGCCGGGAGGCGAGTCTCGGCTGGCAGGCGGGCGGCGCTTGAGCCCCGCCACAGACACAGCCGCGGTGGCGGGCGCTGAAAAATGGAGCACGGCGACCAGAGAAGAGAGACATTTTCTTTCCGTTAACTGAATTGTTTCCTACCTCCGGGTGTCCGACTCGCTACTCCTCTCACTCCGCTGCTCTCCGGGATCCGCCGCCGCCGCTGCATCCAATCGCCTCCTCCCCCCCCTCCCCTTCCGCAGCCAGCCCGGCCGTTCCTCCTCCTCTCCGCTTCAAAATGGCGCCAAGCGCTCTTCGGCGGCTGCTCCAATCGAACCGCCGCGGACAGCACCCGGGGGCAGGCAGTGCGCGGCGTGGGTGCGCAGCGCCCCCTGCCGACCAGACGGTCCTGGGCGCGCGCCCGCCGGCCCGCTGGGCTCGCCCCGCCCTGTCCCCGCCCCGTCCCCGCGCGCGCGCCCAACTCTGCCCCGCCCCATCGCGCGCGCACACAGCCACACCGGCACGCCGCCGCCGTGGCCGCGGTGGCGGCGAGACTCGCAGCTGTCAATGCTTTCTCTGCCTCTGCGGCTTCCTTGACTTTTGCCGAAAACCACATAAATTGTCACCTATCGCTAACTTTGGAGACAGAAGTTGGGTATCTTTTAAGACACTGAAATTGAATACTGATGTCGTGCCCTGTAAATGAAATTGGTATTAACTACTTGCACTTCATCTGGTAACTCTTACCTAGTCATCTCAAAATGCCATAAAATAGTTTCTTCTACGCTGTGTGTACTAGGTCTCTACTTAATCCACAGCTTTCCCATTCTGAGGAATTGTTTCAGCGCGAGGTGGGGAGGCGGACACAGTGATTCAACGTGTAACAAAGCACTTCACTCATTTGTTATCACGGTTGTCCTTATTGGAGGGAGAAATCATCTGAATACCGCGAAGACGCCTTCCAGGAGTCAGGTTTCTAACCCCTTTACCCCCCAGGTGGTGACGCTCCTCCCTCCTGCCGCTTTGGGGGAGTGTATTAAGAGTTGATCTGGCAATTACTATTAGGACAGAGAGAGGGAAAAATCGTTAAGGCCTCAAAGAAGATCAGTTTCTAACAAAAGAAACTATGTCTTATACAACAGCAAGTGGATTTACAGAAATCAGTAATATAAACCTTCATTTAAAGCAACATTATTTAAGAAAACTGGAATCTGAAATTGGCCTTCAAACAAAAATAAACTTCTGTGTTCTAGGCTTTAAAAAATAACCAAGTGTGGGGACAAATTGTATGTAGTAAATCTCTGTACCTTCCTCTAAATTTTGCTGTGAACTTAAGACAGATCTAATAAAGTCCAGAAAATAACCAAGTTGTAATATATCAGGAGAAATATAATTGGATGTGGCATAATTTAAGATCGTTAAGAACATAAACCATTCAAAAATTAGCTGTGACTGCTGCCTACTTGGAGAAAGACGAATTATGTGGGAATGATGTAAAAAATGCTGATTTTATACAGACTTGGTTAGGAGAATTATCTTTGATTATAAAGAACCGCAAATCCAGTCACCAGCTGTACTAGTTTTCTACTGCTGCTGTAACAAATTATTACAAAGTCGGTGACTTAAAACAACCTACAACCTTAATTCCCCTTTGCCATATAAACTAATATATTCACAGGTTCCGAGGAATAGGGCAGGGATATCTTTGGGGGCTATTATTCTGCCTACCACATTACTTGTATTTGGGTTATCTGGACCTTTTGTTTTCTTTTGGAAGGGTATAAAGCTGAGGTTGAGGGGATTAGGAAGTTGGAAGACATCATTAATGCACATAGTTAATATGAACAACCCTAAAAACACCTACATTGCTCCAGTACATTTTGAATAGTTCTCTACTACACTGTTACGCTGCTAGACTAGCTTCACTACACTAGAGCATGGTTTCTGAAATCTTTGTTATTCTACACCTGAAGCCAGAAATCATATAGTCTTGACTATCCACCCTACCCATATGGGGGACATCTGAATCTTGCAGGATGTGGTAGGAAGTATGTCAGCAGATGTATGCTGAAAAATTGTCTCTCGAGGGTCTAGAATTTCAGTTAATGCTATTTGAAAGAAAATAATTTCCAGGTTAAAAAGAAAATAGAATGTTGTATGAATGTACTCCTCTAGAAATATAGTACTTAGTGTTGGCAATTATATTTATTGAAATATATGAATAGCAAAAATAATGCAAGTCAGAATCACTTTCAAAATGCAGTGGAAGTATGCTGAGCTATAAGAAACTGTGTGAGTATGTCAAAAGAAAAAAAAAACAGAAGAGAATTTCTGAAAGGCCATGTCTGATCAGAATATCATTTTATTTTCACATTTATCATTTCATTCTAAAAGCAGTAAGATTTGTATCAGATATCAGCATGCTAGACAACTAGTTAGTAAATAAGGAGACTAGGCCCTACCTAGATATAGGCTGTTATTTATTCTGTGTAATTTGAAGTACATCCCAAAGGCCAGTCAAGCTGCAAACATGACCCCTGCCAGCCTACAACAGTGCTGAAATTCCCACTAGACTAATTCTTTGGGTTAAGGCATTGGATCTCCAGAAAACATGTTGAAATGCGGTTATGTTACTTGAAAAGGGTAACCTGCTAGCCCATTTGTATCTATTAGCAGAGACTAAGCCAAGTAGAAATTAACTTTGTGATGTTTAGGCATTAAGCAATCAGGTGATGGACTGAAGCCGTCTTCTCCAAAACTCTGAAGTCAGACCCTTATTCATGAAGCAGCCATCATGGAAAAATAGCATAAAGGCTCTTCTCCTTCACCTTCATCCAAAACTCAGTTCCTGGTGTCTAGAATTCCTCCTCCATGATTAATTCGCTGTATTAAGCACTGTGCCCATCCTGTGACCCTCTTTATCTTTGTCTCTTTAAAGTAAATTCTACCCCCAATGTGGGGCTCAAAATCACAACCCCAAGATCGAGAGTCACATGTTCTACCAAATAAGCCAGCCAGGCACCCCTTAAATATTGTTCTATTTTTGCCCATTCCTTTTATTTATTTTTACTTATTTATTTAATTTTTTAAAAGTAAACTATATGCCCAATGTGGGGCTTGAACTCAAGACCCTGAGATCATGAGTGGCATGCTCTACTGACTAAGCCAGCCAGGTGCCCCTTCTGTGACCTTCTTTAAAATGCAAATATTGCTGGAAGAATGCCACATTTGTCTGGTCTCAGGGCAGTGGTTCTCAACTGGAGTGGAGTGGAACAATCCCAAAATCACCTGGGAAATTTCTGCAAACTGCATGTGCCTCTGAGCCCACCCTTCTATTGTCTTACAATAACAGATTATTTTCCTTCCTATGGAGAGAGACAGATAAGAAAAACAGAGCTGAGAAAGGTGCTGGGATTTCCAAACAGGGAGAAGAGCTAGAAGGGGAAGGATGCCACAAAGGAAGATTAGGGGAAGGTGACCTTTGCCTACTACGTAATACCAGAGCTCGCAAACATAAGCCAAGGCAGTTCCCTTCTCACTTTCTTTCTTCTTAAAGAAAAGAAAATGCTTTCTTTTGAACATGGTCCTAGAGGTCAATTGTCTTACAGGTTGCTAAGCACATTTTGTTCCTTAAAGAATTCTAGACCATCTTTTTTACCTACCTAATAACTAATGGTATTCCTGATCTCCTATGCAGACATTATACTAAAACTCTTTTTTTCTGAAAAACTCTCTGGGATCTTTGAAGAAATGTGTGTGGGTGTTATCAAATATTGTTTGGGTAAATATACACACTTGGCAGAGTCGCCTTGGTTTCCTGGGAGTTGAATAGCATAGGTCACCACTGTGATTGAGGTCTGAGCTGCTGACTGAGTATTCCTGAATGTTTAAGGCAGAACAGCCAAAGCAAAGACCATTCACTCTTAGCCATAGTCAGCACTCAGCAGTGTGTGCGATACATGGGCCTGCACTTGATTAGTGGGAGGAAATTGCATTTATTTACACGTAAATCCATGCTGTCCAACTGAAATATGATGTGAACCATGTATGCAATTTAAAATCTTCCAATTTTAAAAAGTAAAAAGAAACCAGTGATATTACTTTTAATAGTATTTTATGTAACATAGTATATCCAACATATTGTCATTTCCACATGCAATCAATATAAAATATTTTATGAGATATTTTACATTCTTTTGTTCACATTGTATATTTAAAGCACATCTCAATTCCTGCTAGTGATATTTCAAGTGCTCTGTAAGCACATGCAGCAAGTGACTTCCCATTGTTGACAGCACAGCCAATAGACCCTGGAATCGAAAATGCCACTTTTTAACAACTTGTAATAAATAGCAAACATTTTTTCACTATATATTCTTTGCAGCTGTTGAAACTTGTTATGAATTATGCTAATACCATATATATTTCAATATATAGTATATATGTATACGGTTATTTTATGTTCATGTTTTTAATGTAGAATAATGACTTACTCTAAATTTCATATTTATATCAAATATATCATTGGTTTAGCTCTGTAAGAAAGCAAATGAGAATTAATTTAAGAAATATTATGATTAGCCATTAGAACTAACCATAATCCAGCAAGCAGTTAAACCTGATACCAGAAGCATACCTATAGTAATACATGAGCTTCTTTAAACATATTTTTGTTTAGAATAAATTTCTTTACACATTGTTAGACATAATGAGTAATAGAATAATCTGGCCAGATGACTAAATGGAATAAAAATTAGGACTTTCTCCCAAATCTCTTATTTATATTTTGATTTTAATGAATTGTCTTTCACCCAAGGCAGCTCCTACTTGTGTTAATTAGGTAAGTCTGAAGCTATATAAGGGCCCACCCCTACTTCAACCTGATTCCTTTACTTAGCCACTTTTGTTTATTATTACTCTTTGCTTCTTTCCCACTTTCCACACCCACGCTGCTTTGTCCCATGACTTTTTTGCCTGTAGGTTTAGCCTTCCTCTTAATTTTCTTTTTCTCTCCATAGTCTACTGCCTATGCTGTTTACAACTGTAGAAAATTTTCACCTCACTTTTTTTTAATAAGGGTAAAAATAAAACATTCCCTGTTCTTGTCCAAGATCTCAGTCATCTCTCCAAATAAGGTGTGGATACTATATTAATTATACATATCTATGTATATTTAACAAGTATGTTCTTTATAAGCTCATGTCACTTCTACCCATTGTAGAGGGGAGACTTCTTTTTTTATAGGCTCAAACTAGGTGTAATTTCTTGTATAAAATGCACCTAATAAAC